ACATATAATACAAATTGTAATGTAATTATACCTCACGTTTTGTTTGTTGTGTCCTAGACATGTTTTCATAACATTCACCCATCTACTGTACTGTAAGTCCTACTGTACAATTATCATGCATCAGAATCACAGAAGAATATGATAGACACTGGTAGCAGATTGAAATACATCTGTGATGCAGCAAAAAAGCGAGATAATGTGTTGAAACACAGCCCTGATGCGCCCTTCAGTCCGGATTCATGACAGGGTGAATATTCCACGCGGGTCGGCTGGTGAGCGGGCGGAAAATCACCTGTTCATGCTGGATTTATGAGCGTTATCTCGATCGCGCCTCTGTCTTGTCAAGTCTCACAGCAGCCAGTCATCCGTGACACGCAAAACAGGCCGGACCTGAGAGCGAGGGAGATGAGAGACAGATACATAAATGAGGCCTTTCAGCAGCTCTGCATTATTTAAACATCCACTAAATATTCATCTGCCTTTAGACCAGAGGCCAGAAACATGCAGACTGAACCTGAACACCAACATATTACACACAAAGACAACATGACATATTTTTTAAACAGTTTGCAACACATTTTTCTTAGATAATCGGCATACTTGTGTTCAGTGTTGGGGGTAACGCATTACAAGTAACGCGAGTTACGTAATCAGATTATTTTTTCAAGTAACTAGTAAAGTAATGCATTACTTTTTAATTTACAAGAGAATATCTGAGTTACTTTTTCAAATAAGTAACGCAAGTTACTTTTTTTTCCAATGTATTGATTGACAGCTCTCCTGTCCCCATGTTGAGAGAAATCAGAAGATGTTACTGTAGTTCTAAAATAAATATGAATATGCATTAATTCATCTCACTCACAAAAACACAGATTCAGTATTCCTCAAAATGAATAAAAATAATGCAACTCAGAATATGACGCAAACCTGGAATAATTAAATGTTAAACAACACAAATATGCTTTATGTATTTAATCCCATTCTATTAACCAATGTCTTTGCTTCTGACCTTCGATGATCCAGTTCAACCGTACTAACAAGCCTTTATGTATTTAATCCCATTCTATTAACCAATGTCTTTGCTTCTGACCTTCGATGATCCAGTTCAACCATACTAATAAGCACAAGTGACTTTTTTTATTGCTGAAGTGTGTTGAAATTTCTTCTTCTGCATTCTACTGTACGGACGTAAATGTACTTTCCCTTCAGCCTGAGGCTTATTCATTTCACTTTTGGTGTGAAAAGGCTTTTATATTTGCCAAAAATAGAACTTTTTTATTTTAAAAACAAACAAGCAAGCCCTGTCCAGATTTAAAAAGTAACGCAAAAGTAACGTAACGCATTACTTTCCATAAAATTGGATTAAAGGTAATTTTAAGAGGATGATTTTAGTTATTTTAGTTATTAGGTTATTTTTAGTATCATTACAAAACTATTATAGGTTTTATATGATCTATAACAGGTAATATAATGAATTAGTTTTTGTTTATATTTTCTGTTATCATTTTAATTGTAGTTAAAGATTTAGTAATTTTGTTGTTTTTTTTTGTCATAGCTTTCATTCATGTATATATAAAATATAGGGTTGTTTTAACAGGTTTACTTTAATTATTAGGTTATTTTAGTATCACTGAGATATTAAAGTTTTTTTTTATAAATATGTTTTAATTTAAATTTAATTCAAGTTTGTTGCATACTTTTGTCATTTTTCCTATTTTCTTTTTTAATATGTCTAGTTTTAATTTATATATAAAATATATTAGGATTAATTTAACAGGGTTATTTCAGTTATTAGCCTATTTTAGCATCACTTAGATACTATTATAGTTTTTATTAATATTTTGAATTTCCTTTTTTAATATTTTCTGTTTTTATTTTAATGCTAGTTAAGGTTTGAGTAATTTTGTCATTTTTCTTCGTTTTTGAATTATCTTTATAGTGTTCATTATGTTTTTGTTTTATTTTTAATACATCAAAATAAATTAAATAAAAAACAAATTTTGCCAAGGCAACTGACTGAAATATGTTTTTTTTTTTTCAGGTAAAGTTTCTTTTATTTCAACTAACTAACTAACTAACTAAATAGTTTTAGTAAACTATAAACTAACTGAATAACACTGAATATGCAAAATAATGAGGTAATGTGAAAACGTCTAAAACATTTATTGTTGCATAATGCATAGTTTCATACTAAATGCAGCGTGTGTTAGTGTTCTTATCTTGTGTGAATAAAGCTGAAGGGAAATGTGTCTGTGTTGCTGTGTAATCTCTGACTGTGTGAATAATTAAAGCTGTCTGCTTACCTGCTTATCTTGTCGAGAAACAGATAAAGACCTGCAGCAAAGTTTGTGAAAGCCAAACAGCACAAGACAGAACGACAGAAATACTAAGAGTGATAGTGGATTTAAAAAAACCCATAAAGATATCCAAAAAACTCTTTAAACACAGTCAACATCAAAACTGACTTTGTTTACCTTCTTATTAATACGTGTTTCCGGTCTCATTGTAAACCATTCGGACCTTATTTAATAGTGAAACACACCACTTCCATAATACCATCAATTCTGACCGTGTTGTCTATGTAGTGTACAGTTTAGTGTGTACTGTGTAGTGTTGTAGTGCGTCTCCGCAGCTGCAGGTGTCGCTGTTGAGTGACGTCACTCGTGCGTCGCGCGCCGGCCACTCGCGCGAAGAAGAATAGAAACCAACGAGTTTTGTTCACAAGCGTGTCGCGTTCATACACTTTTATTATACAACAATCTGAATTTTTAAGGCTTAAACCACACAGAAATTGCCATGGATGTTGGGGAGCTGCTGAATTATCAGGTACTGACGCGTTTAATGTCTCTCCGTGACTTTATACGGATGAATTTGTCATTGGTTGATCTATTCTGCTGCTAGTATTAGCATTATCTTAAACTTTAATCGTTAGCGCAAAAATAAAACCGCTTTTTGAATCGTTACAAATGATTTAGTTGTGTTTAGGGTTGTTGTAAGTAGGTAAAAGCGCTGATTGATCTTTTACTGAATTAGCACAGACGCAAGCGGGTTATTGGCGGTTTGTTTATATTTAAATACACTTTATTAGTTTAATGTATTATTCATTGCATTAATTTAAATGCTTATTTTATCGGGATGTTGTGTAGTTGTCAGATTCAGTCGTACTTCCCCAGCAGTAAAAGTACTGTAGTGCTACCATGGTACAGAGACGTATTAGCTAAAGCCATAGAACCATGTCCAAAAACTATGCTAGTGCTATGTAGCTTTTTAAAGATTTTTTTTGTAAATTTGCAACTGAACAACATTTCCTCTATTAACCGAGCGTACAAGGTGTTTATTAGGATAAAATAGGATGTTAGTTTAACATGTATTCAATACATTTACATTAATTTAGTAAAGGCTTTTATCCTAAAACATAAAGGCCCGGTTTCACAGACAGGGCTTAGACTAAAGCCAGGATTAGGCCATAGTTCAATTAGGACATTTAAGTCATTTTTATGAACGTACTTAGAAAAAAACATTACTGGTGTGCATCTTGAGATAAAACAGAGGCACTGATATATTTTAAGATCAGTCAGTGCAAGTTTCTTTCAGTTGAAACAGCTCAGATTTACATTTTAGTCTGGGATTAGGCTTAAGCCTTGTCTGTGAAACCGGGGGATAATATAATATCAGTCTGATAAATTTTTCATACTTTTTGTTTTTCAGTGACTTTTAACAAAAGTACTATCCTTTAGCCTGTTTTTTTAAAGCCAGGATTAGGCCATAGTTCAATTAGAACATTGAAGTCATTTTTATGAACGTACTTAGAAAAAAACATTACTGGTGTGCATCTTGAGATAAAACAGAGGCACTGATATATTTTAAGATCAGTCAGTGCAAGTTTCTTTCAGTTGAAACAGCTCAGATTTACATTTTAGTCTGGGATTAGGCTTAAGCCTTGTCTGTGAAACCGGGGGATAATATAATATCAGTCTGATAAATTTTTCATACTTTTTGTTTTTCAGTGACTTTTAACAAAAGTACTATCCTTTAGCCTGTTTTTTTAACACAAAATACAGTTTGTCAAATCATTTAATTAATAATATTGTTTATTAATAATATTTTTTTTCAGTCATTGCCAATAATTAAAACAACAACAATAATAATAATTGTTTTTGTTGTTATTATTGTTATTATTATTATTTTGTTATGGATGACAACCAATTTGACTAATGATATTATAAATGTTTCTTGAAACAACATGCCTAAATTATGTTTATTGGGATGTTATTTCAAAATTATTAGGATTTTTGTTTAACATTTTTCCATTACATATTTATTTATTTATTAATTTAGCAGACCGTTTTAGCCAAAACAGTAAAAATGTTAAATATTGTATTGGTCTGATTAGGCCAATAATAGAAGTGTAAAATATCAGGATTTACTTTTAGTTTTTCAAAGTCTTCTCTTTTTTATTATTTGTTTTTATTTGTACATTATCTAGTTTTAATACCTGATTTAATGCATTTTTAATCTGAGATTGGAAACATACTGTAAAAAAACAATATATTTATATTAGTAAGCTTATTGGTAATCTGCATTTAAAATATTGGTTGTTTACTTCTGCATAGCAGCATTTATTTATCAGTGAAGCTCAACAAGTATGACATTGTATTTTTGTTCAGAAGTTAATAAAAAGGTCTTCTAGTTATAGTGGCAGAAAGTGAAGTTATATTATAATATGTAACGAGTATAGATTTGCACTGAGTTGTGAGTGTTGTTCTCTTTGATGCAGATGTGTGCGATCACTCTTGTATAAATCTGAGAATAGTCTCTCATGGTCAAATCATGTGAAATAATCTTCTCTTTTCAGCCCGACCGAGGTGCCAAGAGACCCAGAGATGAAGACCGCCACGAGGAGTCCAGAAGCAAGCAGAAGACGGCGGGCCGCGACACAGGACGGGTGCTGGTGAGATCAGAGCCGGACAGCGAGGAGCAGACAGGAGACGGAGAGAAGATCCTGGAGAGACTGATGGATCAGGATGGAGAAGATCCAGAGGTGAGATCAAACCGGAGTCATATGGGGTTATTTTACGTGCAACAAGACCTCTGAATGCTTAATTATAAACACAAATGTGCTCTCTGAATATCTGTGGTGAATAACATATGTGACCCTGGACCACAAAACCAATCTTAAGTGCCAATTTTTCAAAATTGAGATTTATACATCATCTGAAAGCTGAATAAATAAGCTTTCCATTGATGCAGTTTGTTAGGATAGGAGGACAATATTTGGCTGAGATGCAACTATTTGAAAATCTGAGGGTGCAAAAAAATCTAAATATTGAGAAAATCATCTTTAAAGTTGTTCAAATGAAGTCATTAGCAATGCATATTACTAATCAAAAATTAAGTTTTGATATATTTACGGTAGGAAATTTACAAAATATCTTCATGGAACATGATCTTATTATCCTAATGATTTTTGGCATAAAAGAAAAATCAATAATTTTGACCCATACAATGTATTTTTGGCTATTGCTACAAATATACCCCAGCGACTTAAGACTGCTTTTGTGCTCCAGGGTCACATATTACAGGTGGACTGTTTTATGCCAGTGTAATTTTATTTGATAAACTGTTTATTTAATAATGTATAGTAATATAAGTATTTCATGGTTTTCACAATGCACAGTGTTTCAAAAATATTGCAGTAATAATAATGTCTACTATTCTAAAGTCCTCATTTAACAATGCAATTAAAGTTTTGTGATGGGGAAAAAAGATTGTGATGGACAGTTATATAATCTGCTGTTTAACCTGTTTGTTTGTTTTTAACACAAGAAAACAAACAACACAAGACAGTGGCAGAAAAAGTTTTAGAATTTTTATCATGTTAATGTAAAAAATCTTGTGTAATATAACTTGTTTGTTTGTTTGCTGGTTTTTATTGTATTTGTTATACTTGTATTTTTTGAATCTTTTTTTTTTTTGCCATGAAAATAGCCTAAGATGCTGACATGGCATTAAATAAAAATATACTACTACTTAACACAAGACAGTTTTTTTATATTTTATGACCTATAACCAATAATTGTTTTGTGTAATTTTAAATAATTGATTAGATTTAATGTTTAATATTTGTGTTTTTCTTGTGTCTTGTGGCAATAATAATAATAATAATAATAATAATAACCAATAATTATGACCAATATGAAATTTGCTAATATTTTAAATATTTGCTGTTTAACCTGTTTTTAAACACAAAATACAGTTTTTCATATTATAACCAATAAGTATAAATAATTCTTTAAATGTATGTTTTAAATAATAATAATAATAATGATAATAATAATATATTATGGCCAGTAACTGGTTTGATTGCTAATATTGTAAATGTTTACTGTTTAACCTGATTTTAAACACACAATACAGTTTTTCATATTTTATTGTTTGTGTAATTCTAAATAATTAATTCGATTTTTAATTAATTTATTCTGGTGTCAATAATAAAATATTTATTATTTAAATATTTCTTGTTACCATTAATCTGTTTTTAACCAATAATGTTTTTTTAATTATTATTATATAGATGTGGTGTTATAGCCAGTATTAAAAATCTACACTGTTTTGCATATATTTTTTAAACGGCATTCGCACTAGATTCCAATCTAGAATTTTTCATGCTTCAATAAAATTAACCATAAAAACATTTTAGCGTACTGTAGAAAAGGTGCATAACTGTTAATAGTTATGCACCTTTAGGTGTATAAAATAGTATTTTGAACTTGAAAAAAGCAGGTCTCATGTAATTCAGAGGGACACTGGTCTCTAAAGATGAGAATCATGACCTTTGACCTCCTGACCTGCTGTGTGTTGACAGGGTGAGCTTGTGGATGAGAGCACAGTGAAGAAGATGATCCTGACCTTTGAGAAGAGATCCTACAAAAACCAGGAGCTGAGGATCAAGTTTCCCGACAACCCCGAGAAGTGAGTTATGAAGAATTTAACTCCACTTCTAAATCTCACCATTATATGGCAAATGAGATGCAAACAGTGAGATGTGACCTCACTTCCTGTTGTCGGCAGGTTCATGGAGGCGGAGCTTGACCTGAATGACATCATCCAGGAGATGCATGTCATCGCCACGATTCCAGAGCTGTATCATCTGCTGGTGGAGCTGAACGCCGTCCACTCTCTGCTCGGCCTCCTCAGCCACGACAACACTGATATCCTCAGCATGACAAACCACCAGAGATCATATTTGTGACCCTGGAGCACAAAAGCAGTCTTAAGTCGCTGGGGTATATTTGTAGCAATAGCCAAAAATACATTGTATGGGTCAAAATTATAGATTTTTCTTTTATGCCAAAAATCATTAGGACATTAAGTAAAGATCATGTTCCATAAAGATATTTTGTAAATTTCCTACTGTAAATATATCAAAACTTAATTTTTTATTGGTAATATGCATTGCTAAGAACTTCATTTGGACAACTTTAAAGGTGATTTTCTCAATATTTAGATTTTTTTGCACCCTCAGATTCCAGATTTTCAAATAGTTGTATCTCAGCCAAATATTGTCCTATCATAACAAACCATACATCAATGAAAGCTTATTTATTCAGCTTTCAGATGATGTATAAATCTCAATTTAAAAAAATTGACCCTTATGACTGGTTTTGTGGTCCATGGTCACATATTACACTAACACCATTTTTATGAAATAGAAATCACAGTAATATAATAAGAAACACTAGTGCTCAAATAATTGCTTTTAATATTAGTAAGTTAGTTCGATTAGTAGATGCACTGTCTATTGGCATGTTTAAAATTTACTCATTAGATTTACGTTTATTAATTTAGTAGATGCTTTTATGTGAAAATCTGCCTAAATAATTGTTAATTTATCTCTTTTTTTGTATCAAAACATTGAGGAGTATGCAAAATCTTATTAAAAGTATCAAATGTTTTGTAATACTTTTTGTCCAATTCTGGATTGGCAAATTTACTGTATAAAATATATATTTATTTTAATATATTATTGTAAGTAATCATATTGGTAATCAGTCAAGAAAAATATTGGTTATCATCTATTTAAAAACTTTAAAAAAAGAAATAGTTATTAGCCGTTAAAAAAAATGGTTGGAAATGTAATAAAAGTTGTTAGCAGTCATAACCCAAAAATGATAATCTAAACGACCATAATAATAATAATAATAATAATAAAAAAAAATGTTATTAGCCATAACAACAAAAATATACACTACCTTTCAAAAGTTTGGGCTTGGTACAATTCAGAACTGCATTTATTTGATTTAAAATATTTCACAATATATTTCACAAAATATATAATATTTAATATATAAAATGTTCACAAAATAGTACAAAAAATTTTGTACAAATATTCATATTTTGAAATATTATTGCAATTCAAAATTAGTGTTTTCTGTGTGAGTGTTTTAAAATGTAAATTATTCCTGTGCTCAAATCTGAATTTTCAGCATCATTGCTCCAGTATTCAGTGTCACATGATCTTCAGAAATCAGTCTAATATGCTGATCTGCTGCTCAAGAAACATTTCTGATTATTAATAATGTTGAAAACAGTTGTGCTGCTTCATGATGAATAGAATGTAAAAAAAACCCCAGCATTTATCTGAAATAGAAATCTAAAAAATGTAGCATTTAAATGTCTTTAAAAAAAAAAAGTACCGTCCCCAAACTTTTGAGTAGTAGTGTTATTATATTGCTTATTGCACATAAAAAAAAAATATATATATATTTTGCATCCCTATTTCAAATATGCTTGTTATGATTTATGTTTAGCAGTTGGTCAGTATTGCAAGTCCTTAATGTGAATCACATATGAGCATCGTGGTGGTCATGACCTTTAACCTCCTGACCTGCTGTGTGTTGACAGGGTGAGCTTGTGGATGAGAGCACAGTGAAGAAGATGATCCTGACCTTTGAGAAGAGATCCTACAAAAACCAGGAGCTGAGGATCAAGTTTCCCGACAACCCCGAGAAGTGAGTTATGAAGAATTTAACTCCACTTCTAAATCTCACCATTATATGGCAAATGAGATGCAAACAGTGAGATGTGACCTCACTTCCTGTTGTCGGCAGGTTCATGGAGGCGGAGCTTGACCTGAATGACATCATCCAGGAGATGCATGTCATCGCCACGATTCCAGAGCTGTATCATCTGCTGGTGGAGCTGAACGCCGTCCACTCTCTGCTCGGCCTCCTCAGCCACGACAACACTGATATCCTCAGCATGACAAACCACCAGAGATCATATTTGTGACCCTGGAGCACAAAAGCAGTCTTAAGTCGCTGGGGTATATTTGTAGCAATAGCCAAAAATACATTGTATGGGTCAAAATTATAGATTTTTCTTTTATGCCAAAAATCATTAGGACATTAAGTAAAGATCATGTTCCATAAAGATATTTTGTAAATTTCCTACTGTAAATATATCAAAACTTAATTTTTTATTGGTAATATGCATTGCTAAGAACTTCATTTGGACAACTTTAAAGGTGATTTTCTCAATATTTAGATTTTTTTGCACCCTCAGATTCCAGATTTTCAAATAGTTGTATCTCAGCCAAATATTGTCCTATCATAACAAACCATACATCAATGAAAGCTTATTTATTCAGCTTTCAGATGATGTATAAATCTCAATTTAAAAAAATTGACCCTTATGACTGGTTTTGTGGTCCATGGTCACATATTACACTAACACCATTTTTATGAAATAGAAATCACAGTAATATAATAAGAAACACTAGTGCTCAAATAATTGCTTTTAATATTAGTAAGTTAGTTCGATTAGTAGATGCACTGTCTATTGGCATGTTTAAAATTTACTCATTAGATTTACGTTTATTAATTTAGTAGATGCTTTTATGTGAAAATCTGCCTAAATAATTGTTAATTTATCTCTTTTTTTGTATCAAAACATTGAGGAGTATGCAAAATCTTATTAAAAGTATCAAATGTTTTGTAATACTTTTTGTCCAATTCTGGATTGGCAAATTTACTGTATAAAATATATATTTATTTTAATATATTATTGTAAGTAATCATATTGGTAATCAGTCAAGAAAAATATTGGTTATCATCTATTTAAAAACTTTAAAAAAAGAAATAGTTATTAGCCGTTAAAAAAAATGGTTGGAAATGTAATAAAAGTTGTTAGCAGTCATAACCCAAAAATGATAATCTAAACGACCATAATAATAATAATAATAATAATAAAAAAAAATGTTATTAGCCATAACAACAAAAATATACACTACCTTTCAAAAGTTTGGGCTTGGTACAATTCAGAACTGCATTTATTTGATTTAAAATATTTCACAATATATTTCACAAAATATATAATATTTAATATATAAAATGTTCACAAAATAGTACAAAAAATTTTGTACAAATATTCATATTTTGAAATATTATTGCAATTCAAAATTAGTGTTTTCTGTGTGAGTGTTTTAAAATGTAAATTATTCCTGTGCTCAAATCTGAATTTTCAGCATCATTGCTCCAGTATTCAGTGTCACATGATCTTCAGAAATCAGTCTAATATGCTGATCTGCTGCTCAAGAAACATTTCTGATTATTAATAATGTTGAAAACAGTTGTGCTGCTTCATGATGAATAGAATGTAAAAAAAACCCCAGCATTTATCTGAAATAGAAATCTAAAAAATGTAGCATTTAAATGTCTTTAAAAAAAAAAAGTACCGTCCCCAAACTTTTGAGTAGTAGTGTTATTATATTGCTTATTGCACATAAAAAAAAAATCAGTATCTGCCAAAATGTGCTCATGTTTTGTGTTTAGCCGTTGGTCAGTGTTGTAAGTCCTTAACGTGAATCACATATCAGCATCGCGGTGGTGGATCTCCTGCAGGAGCTGACAGACATCGACACGCTTCACGAGAGCGAGGAGGGTGCCGAGGTGCTCATCGACGCTCTGGTAAGGAAATATTTATGTAATAATCAGAGAAAACACATCATCAGTGGTGTTACAGGAGATTACGGGCTGATTCACCAGCATTAGCGGGTCACGGTCCAGCGGCACAATGGGATTATTAGGAGAAAATGACATGAATTACTGCTGCGAGAAATGCAGCCTCATATTTGTCCTGACGTTTGCAAGAGAAGCAGAGAGAGACGACGTTTATGTCCAGGAGGTTGTTGAGGTTGTGCAATCACGGCTTGTGTCAGATGGAGCAGAGGAAACAGGAGGAACTCGTGAACAATCAGAGGCTGATTGAACCGCATGCGTCTGATTGCTGCTGTTTAGTATTTGTGTTGTGCAGCCAAGCAAACGCATTTACACGTCTGAATAACTCTTTATATGGCATCTCAACAAACAGGCTATAAAATAGGGCTTTATGTATAACATTTTATATATATATATATGTATGTGTGTATGTGTGTGTGTATATATATATATATATATATATTTACATTTACATTTAGTCATTTAGCAGACGCTTTTATCCAAAGCAACTTACAAATGAAGACAATAGAAGCAATCAAAATCAACAAAAGAGCAATGATATGCAAGTGCTATAACAAGTCTCAGTTAGCTTAATGCAGCACACGTAGCAAGGTTTTTTTAAAATAATATAATAAATAAAAAGAAAACAGATCGAATAGAGCAAGCTAGTGTTAGAGGTCTTTTTTGCTTTTGTTAATTGCATAATAAATGAAAAGAAAACCGATAGAAATCAAAAAGAATAGAAAGCAAGTGTTAGTTTTTCTTTTTAAAGAAAACAAGCAGCAAATGAATAGAGTGCAAGTCTAAAAGACTTTATATAAGATATATAAGATATTCTTGCAATATCTATAAAATGGAAGTCCTATATATAAGTCCTATATATATATTTTTATTTTTATTTATTTAGTAATTTATTTTTTTTAAATTAATACAATACATTCTATTTATTTTATTATGCTAATATGAATTTAATATATTATTTAAATGTATTATTTAATTTTCTTTTTAATTAATTTATTAATTCCTTCCTTCCCTCCCTCCCAAACTACAAGCAACATCTAACCTGGATTTTCCAGGTTCACCATTAAAAAACCCCAGATCCAAGTAAACCAGATCTTTATGAGCACATCTGTATATTTATTTTCAGAGAAAATGATTTCAGATTTAGCCACCTCTAAATGAAAAACTGTATTTCA